GTTTGTGTGTTTGTGTGTTTGTGTGTTTGGGTGTTTGTGTGTTTGTGTGTTTGTGTGTTTGTGTGTTTGTGTGTTTGTGTGTTTGTGTGTTTGTGTGTTTGTGTGTTTGTGTGTTTGTGTGTTTGTGTGTTTGTGTGTTTGTGTGTTTGTGTGTGTGTGTTTGTGTGTTTGTGTGTTTGTGTGTTTGTGTGTGTTTGTGTGTTTGTGTGTTTGTGTGTTTGTGTGTTTGTGTGTGTTTGTGTGTTTGTGTGTTTGTGTGTTTGTGTGTTTGTGTGTTTGTGTGTTTGTGTGTTTGTGTGTGCGTGTGAGTGTGTGTGTGTGTTGGCCCCTGGGGGCCCGAAGATATCCATGTCCACCGCCCGCCGAGGTCCCCGAAGATGGATCCTCCCGGCGGTGGTCGTGTAGAACTTCCCGCTTCGGGGGAGGCGGCGCGACGGCCCTGGCCGGGCCCATCCTGGGCCCCGGGGAGCGGTGCGTGCGCCCTCCCGGCTCGGCCCGGGGGGGGGGGGGAATGCCGCACCGCTCCCGGGGCCCAGGCTGGGCGCGGCCGGGGGCAGCAGGGGATCTCTCGTAGGCAGAGCTCGCGGCCCGAGGAGGGAGGTCATCGGAAAGTGGAGGGAGGTCATCGGAAAGTGCTCGGGTGGCCTCTGGAAGTCGGCCGCCCCCTCCGGGGCCTCCCGAGGCCTCCGAGGACCTCTCGGGGGCTCGGGGATCGGAGGCGGAGGCGAGACGGGCCGATCCTGCCCCCCGCTCGTCTCCCCCGCCCCCCCGGGGGGAGCGGGAGAGGAAGGAGGGCTGGCAGAGGGCGGGGGCACGGCCGTCGTGCTGCTGTGAGGCACGCGCGAAGCGAGGGGCGAAGGGGCTGCCCTGGCCACCGCGGGCCTCCTTCCACGAGCAGGCTCCCGGGGCCCAGGCCCGAGGAGCGGCCCGGAGGCCGAGGCCCTCCCGAGCCTCAGAGTGGTCCTTGCTTCAGCGTGTGGTCCTTGGGTCTACTCCTCCTCCTCCTCCTCCTCCTCCTCCTCCTCCTCCTCCTCCTCCTCCTCCTCCTCCTCCTCCTCCTCCTCCTCCTCCTCCTCCTCCTCCTCCTCCTCCTCCTCCTCCTCCTCCTCCTCCTCCTCCTCCTCCTCCTCCTCAGATCGACATCCCCTGGATCCACGCATGCCGACACCTCTTTGCTGCTTCCCCAGCCTTCCGTCGAGGGCGAGCCGCGCCGAAGACCAGGGCCCCTCCTGAGCCCCCAACTGGTCCTTCCAGGCACAATCCAGAGTAAGAACAAAAAAACCTTTGGAGTTCCGTCTGCAAGTTAGAGCTCCCTGGACGTCACCATTGGCTCAGGATGGGCCGACGAAGCAGGGATGCAAGGGTAGCCTTGATGAAGCAGCGCAGCCTTACAATGGATGTTGACTGTACTTGAGCGCTCTAGCGAACCAGCTCCGTGCAGCTGGTCTTCCCAGCACGGGGGGGGGAGCGCCAGGAGTGACCGCGTCTCGAGGGAGGGTGCCTGGCGGTGGGGCCGAAGCGGGCTGCACGCCGCAGACGTTTGTAGCCCCCTGTTGCTTGCGACCCCCGTTTTTCGTCCACCACGATCCCCCCATATTGGCAAGATGTTCGGAACTGCGATACGATGAAAGAGAATAACAAACAAGCCAAAAAGAAATGCCCCCCTCCCCCGCTTCGCCCCCTCCTCCCTAGAGCGGCGGAGGAGGCGGGAGAAGCGGCCGTGGGCGCAGATCTCTGTGTCTGAGGCTACGGAGGGGTCGCACCTCCACCTGGTCACAGACAGCTGGCCCCACGGCGTCGTCCGAACGGGCATCAGCGGGCTTCACATGGACCAGGACTGCGTCCTCATGTGGAGGAGAGGGACCGGGGGATGCGAGATGGAGAAGCGGGCCAGGCCACATGGGTCCAGTCTTTCCCCGATCCCCAGGCATGTTCCAGGCATCGGAAAGCCACTGACTTCCACCGGCAAAGGTCTGTCCAGATCCGCCCGCTCAGCTCCGCGCCAGGCGACGCTGCTCGTGCGGATTGCTACGTGTTTGGATCAACGGCCCCAGATTGGAGGCCTGGAAACAGGCACCAACACCAACGCAGGGGGTTGCCTCCACAGGGAGAAGATGATCCTAGATTTCGGTGCTGGTGGTAATATTTCGGTCACCTTGGAAGCCAGAATACTGCCACCATCACCGAGATCGGGATCCTCTTCCCACGGTGGAGGAACACCGCCGATATTGGTGTTGGTGTCAACCTCTAGGCCTGCGACCAGAAGCACTCCGGATTAGCGATGGCGAAGTCTGTGGGGCCGTGGACCAGTGCCAGCACCTCCAGCAGTCTCTACTGCTCAGGCCTTGGCGTTGAAAACCCTGGCCTGCTCGTCCTGTCCTTGTTCAACGTTCAACCTCCCCCAAATCTTGGCAGCGCGCAAAAGGGGGTGGAGGGAGTGGGAAAGGCTTCTTAGAAGGAGGCTGCTTCTTAGAAGGCGCCGGCCTTACATCTGTAGATAAGGCCCGCGCCTTCCAAGAAGCAGGGGTGCTTCTAAGAAGCCCTCCCCACTCCCCCCACCCCCCTTTGCGCGTGGCTGAAAATCGAAGGAGAACCAGTTGAGACGTCTGCGACTCTCCCCTCCCCGTGATTGCGAGCTCGGGCTGCGATGCACGCGGAGTGCGCCCGTGCCAAGGGGGGAGGGAGAGGGAAGGAAGGAAGGCAGAGCCGGGGTGGACGAAAGAAGGGGGCAAGCAAAATGGAGGTTAGCGAATCAGCTGGTTTCCCCGGCGCACCGGATGCGCCAATGTGTCAAGGAAGATGCTCGGCGGCAAAGCCGAAACCACCAGCATGCAGCAGATTCCGTAACATCCCCTTCCCTATCCCCACATTGCACCCGACCGCCGAAGGGAGAAGGAAAAGGAAGGTATGTCCCAAGACGCGCTGGCGTCGCTGGGGGGCCGCAGACTCGTCACAGGCATCGCTGCAAGCGGTGTCTCGCGCGCGCGGGCGGTGGTACGATCCCAGAGTTGTTCGGTGGCCACTCATGGGAGTATCTCATACCTTCTTGTAGGCTCTTGCGAATCGACGTCCATCGACGCTAAATCGACGCTAATCGATGCTAAACCGACGCTAATCGACGCTAACCGACGCTAAATCAGCGCCATCTCATCGACTCCCAGACGCTACTCGACGCTAATCGACGCCAAAGTCGGAATTAACAGGGTACATGCAGCTCCCATGATTCGCTACCGAAGAGTTGTGGCGACGTGGGCAGACCGTCCCCTAAGCCACCGAACCTCGCGCATCGCGCACCGCGATGCGCGACGCGCGACTACCTTGACGCTCTCGTTCCCTCGCGCCTCCCCAGGGGCGAAGGACTATCAACCACTCTGGCCGAGACCGCGACGCGCGAAGCGCGATTCTCTTCGCGCCCCCGCGGGTGACCCAGGTATCGAAGAGCAGTATACGCTCGCCTCGGAGCAGAAGTGCGATACGCATGTCCGCCTCCCGTTCGCATCTCTTGACACGACTGTGGTGCGACACCGCCCGCGCAGGAGAAAGCACGAGCCACTCTGAGCCCGATGCTCGGCCCGGGGGGGGCCGCCCTTGTGCATGCCGCCGTCGTGGTCACCAGCGATGGGCACAGCTCCCCGCGGCCAGGCGAGCACGGATCACGCACCCGCTGACTACGCCCACGCCCCTCCCCACCCGCATCGGCCCCTCCCCCATCCCATCTCTGCGGGTGCGCCGAAGATGGGGGCCGGGAAGAGAGAAGTTAGCGTTAGGTTGGGCGCGTCCCCCTACAGGCGGATGTTTGGCGATAAATTGGAAATGCACAGACAAATACACCCAAAAAGTCAAAAACCTAATCGAAAAATAGTCCCCAAACTATTGTTTGACTATTTTTGCATACTCCTCCTGTAGAGGGACACACCCGACTTAAAGTTAGCGCATCATGACCTGAGGCATGTGCGCGGACGAAGGGGCGCCAGGGGACATGCTGAAAGAATACGGGGGGCCATGAAATCCAGGGAGATTCCACGGTCCTGGACGTGAAATTCACACGCCTCTGGCCATCACCCACCTCTAGGATGCCCCCGATCTCTGTCCCTCCCACTCCTCCCCCTTGTCCCCCTCCCCTATCTCCAGACATCCGACGCCATGATGTTTGTCCATGCCGGGTCCCTGTAAACTGGGGCCACACTGACATCTCGGAAAGACTTGAACGGTCCTGAGGCTCGGCGACGGCCCCCGCAGGCCGAATACGGGCAGGGACATTCCGTCTCGTTTCGAACCACGCCGCGAGCATGTCGGGCCGCGAGACGGAGGAGGGAGGGGCCTCTTGGGCAGCCTCGGGGCGATCTGGGAGACCTCTTGGGCCGCCGTGGCCCGTGCTGAAAACAAAAAAGGGCGACTGTGCCAAAAATATACACCTTCCGAGGTGGAGTCTCCTCCTCCTCGCTCCTCCTCCTCCTCCTCCTCGTCCTCCTCCTCGCTCCTCCTCCTCCTCCTCCTCGTCCTCCTCCTCCTCCCCCTCCTCCTCCTCCTCTTCCGCCTCCGCCTCCGCCTCCGCCTCCGCCTCCGCCACCGCCTCCGCCTCCGCCTCCGCCTCCGCCTCCGCCTCCGCCTCCTCCTCCTCCTCCTCCTCCTCCTCCTCCTCCTCCTCCTCCTCCTCCTCCTCCTCCTCCTCTTCCTCCTCCTCCTCCTCCTCCTCCTCCTCCTCCTCCTCCTCCTCCATCGAGCCCTCCTCCATCGAGCCCTCGAACCCTTGAGCGGTCGAGCCCTCGAGCGCGGCCGCGCTAATCCGCCGCCTCTGGCGGCGACGGCGGCCGCCTGCCCGCGGGCGCAGTGGCGACGCGCGCCGGCAGGGGGTGCTCGGGCGGGGCCGCTGGTGCCTTGGGGCGGGGCGCGGGGGGCAGGGGGAAGGGAGAGAGGAGGAGCGAGGAGCGAGGAGGAGCGAGGAGAAGCGAGGAGGAGCGAGGAGGAAGCGAGGAGGAGCGAGGAAGCGAGGACGACCGAGGAGGAGGCGAGGAGGAGCGAGGAGGAAGCGAGGAGGAGCGAGGAGGAGCGAGGAGGAGGAGGAAGAGCGAGGAGGAGCGAGGAGGAGCGAGGAGGAGCGAGGAGGAGGAGGGGAGGAGGAGGAGGAGGAGGAGAGGAGGAGGAGGAGGAGGAGGAGGAGGAGGAGGAGCGAGGAGGAGGAGGAGGAGGAGAGGAGGAGGAGGAGGAAGAGGAGGAGGAGAGGAGGAGGCGGAGGAGGAGGAGGAGGAGGAGGACGAGGAGGAGCGAGGAGGACAAGGAGGAGAGAGGAGGAGCGAGGAGGAGGAGGAGGACGAGGAGGAGGAGGAGGAGGAGGAGCGAGGAGGAGCGAGGAGGAGGAGGAGCGAGGAGGAGGAGGAGGAGGAGCGAGGAGGAGGAGGAAGAAGAGCGAGGAAGAGGAGGAGCGAGGAGGAGGAGCGAGGAGGAGGAGGAAGAAGAGGGGGAGAAAGATGTAATTGTTGTTCACTCTTCGCGACGCTTCGCAAGGGCACCTTCGTTTTCTCGGTCAGCCTGTGCGGACTGGCAATCTGCGTTCGCCTTGATCTGCATTGGATGGCATTGTGTTGCATCGCTCTGGAGTGCTCTGCATTGCATATCATTGGATTGCATTGCCTTGCCTGGCATTGCGTTGCAGTGCGTCGCATTGCCGTGCATGCAACGATTTGCATGGTTTTGCAGCGTTATATCGTTGGTTATCGATTTGCTGTGCTATGAACTCCTTTGCAGCGGATTGCATTACATCACGTTGCGGTGAATACAACTGCCTTGCGCTGTACGGCATGACATGGAATTGCTGTTCTTGCTGAGCACTATGCCAATACGCCACTGGAAAGTCCAACACACTTACAATTAGCAGCAGTACGTTGCAGCACCCTGGTTTGCATTGCAATGCAGCGCATCGCATGTGTATTGCATTGCTTTGCCTTGCTTTGCATTTCAAGATATGGTGTGCATTGGCTTGCATGTATTTCCTCTGCACTATTTCGCATTGCACCACACCGTTTGGCATAATATCGCATGGAATTGTTGTAAAAATGACTGTGTTGCATTCCACTGCGGTGCACTGCATCACGTTCCATTGGTTGGTTTCACACTGACTTGGATTGCATTGCATCGGATTGCGTTGATTCGAGTTGCTCTGCATTGCATGGTTGGAATGGTGGCTGCGTGTTTCGCCCTGCTGCATTGCATTGGGCTGCACCATATGGCACAAGGCATCCTCTGCTACGTTCAGGTTGGGGTCGCGCTGGCGTATTTGTCTCACTCTGCCATTGGTCATCATCTTGAGCAGATCAGGCGACAGGTGTTGAGCAAATGACCACTCCTTCCCCTCCCTTTTTCTCCCCTCCTCTCTGGTCCTCTCCATTCATAGTCTTCCATCAAGCTAGGAAAGGCGTGGCACCGTCGAGAATGAAAGCGACACAACATAAGCCTGAGCTCCCCTCAATCCTGCTCGGCTTCCTCCTGCTCCTGCTCCGCAACGCCCGTGCCCCAGAAGCCTCGGAGCTGAAGCTGATGGGGAGCGACCTGGCGGTGAGGATGAGGAGGATAAGGATGACGATGCGGATGAGGGTGAGGAAAAAAAGGGGCACGGAGGGGGATGAGGAACGGAAGGGAACAGTGGGAAGGAGGGGCGAGGGGGGAGACAGGTGAGGAAGAGGAAAGAGAAAGAGCAGGTACGGGAGAAGAGAACCTGCTACTACCTGATGGTTCCAATGTGTCTTTCCCTATCCGAGCCATCTCCATCCCATTCCTCCTTCTCTTTCTCTCGCTCTCTCTCTCTTTCTCTCCCTCTCCCTCTATCTCTCTTTCTTTATATACAGTCTTTTCTCTCTCTCTCTCTCTCTTTCTCTCTTTTTCTCTCTCTCTCTCTCTCTATCTCTCTCTCTCTCTCTCTCTCTCTCTCTTTCCCTCTAGGGAGAGAGCGAGGAAGAGATTGATGGAGCGAGAGAAAGAGAGAGAGAGAGAGAGAGAGAGTAGAGAGAGAAAGAGAGAGAGAGAGAGAGACTCCGAGTGGCGCCTCCTGGGGGCGCTTCCGCTTCGTGCGGTGAGCCCGCTGGATCCTGCCGAGAGTCCCGAAGCGCCGTTTGCGCGCGGGGGGCTCTCGCAGATCGGTCCTCGGACCCCCTTTCCCCGAGGTGCCAAGACCCCGCCCCAAACACGAGATGCCCTCACACGGCTCCAACCTGCCTCTAGACACCGCCAAGAGGCCCCGAGGAACGCCCCCGACCCCCCGAACGACGCGAAATGTGTCTGCTGGCCCCCTTTTGCGGGGCCACCAGGCACCGCGTACTGTTTTGCACTGCGCACGGGCCTCCGAAAGAACTGTCCCCATGCAGAGGAGTGGGATCACGTCTGTGGTAAGCGAGACGGTATGGATATCTGGCACTGGGAGACGGCCATACCATATACCATTGCGCTTCCTCATTGTATCTCACCCGCTCCACGCCTCCGTCTTCTCCAAGGCGGCGTCGCCCCCGTCGTGGAACATGGATTCATTTTACCCAGGGACCGAAAGATTACCCCCGGAGACCAACATGATAGTTTTAAGAATCGCGAAGCAAAAGAAACGTTGTGGAGCGCTCTGGGTCCGTCCCGCCAGTTCTCCTCGCCCTCGCCGACCGTGTCACGCTGTGTCTGTGATCGGCAGCCTGGCCGGGAGGTCCAGCGCCAGGGGCGCCGTGGTGCACCTGACCATCGGGGCCGCAAGGTACCGACGGATAAATGGCCCTTCTAGAAGGACAGGAAAACGTCATACATCCCAAGGACGAAAGTTTTCCTCCTGGGGGCCAGAACAACGGTTTGAAGTCTTGAGCAGACGCGTATCAAATAACCGCCATCGGATCCAATTTAATTCGGGCGGATCCAAAATTGGTTTTGGTGCGTGCTTCGATGGATCCGATTTCTGACCGCGCGGATCCGATTTCGGATTTTCTGTATCCGCGTCTGGTCTTATCCTGTACGGTGGATCCGGTTTCTACCCCGTACTACGTGTACGTATATTACTGAACGAAAATGGGGAACCAGAAGAAATCTGATCCGCGGACCCCGCGACCAGCCCGTGTTAAGATTCTACGGGGGAGGGGGGGTCGGTTTTCAACGTTCCAGGATGGGTCCTGAGCTGTCGTGCACTCCCATCAACTCTCCGCGCGCGCGGGCCCCAGTTAACATGAATACAGTTCTCTCCTCCCAGCTGCTGCAAAACAGCTCGTCCAGTCGCCGTCCGTTCGGCGGCGCCGACGTTGTCTCGCGAACTCCCCATCGCCATTTTCACCTCAAGAAGAAAATCTGTCGTCCTGCGAAAGCAAGCATCAACTGTCGGAGGTCCGCGCGGGGTTCTTGCAACGGCGCTGGAAACTCGCAGGCGGCGTTTCTGGCGCCGCCCTTGGCGCGCTTTGGCGCGCTTCGCGCGCCAGAGAGAGAAATCTACTGCGGATCCTCGAAGCCCGCGCGAACCTCCAACAGTTTGTGTTCACGTTGCTTTTTCCCAACCAACCTGTTGTTGGGCCCTCGTTTTGAAGAGACAGTCCCCGCGTTTCCTCGCACCTCCTCCTCACTCCCCTCCTCCTCCCCCGTCCTCCTTTGCCCTCATCACGCCGCGCCGCCGTCCCGACTCGGTACAGCGCTTCGTGGCCCCATGTGGGGCTTCACCGAAGGCCCCAATGACAGCTTTCGCATGTGGGACCCACACGCTGTGCAGCCTTCGTGGCCCCAGAAATACGCGGCCCCCCCCGCCCACTACTCGGGAGCCGGGCAAGGGCTGCTAAATCCGTGGCTGCTAAAATCGACCTCCGGGAAGTTGTCTTCGTCCTTCCGGGAAGAAGCCCGTTGACTGTTTCCCGTACCGCACCTAATTCCGGGAAGTTGTTTTTTCCTTCTGGGAGGGCCGTTTTAGCAGCCACGGTTTTAGCAGCCCTCGCCCAGCTTCCGAACTACAACGCTTCGTGGCTCCATAAGGAGCTCCACCGAAGGCCCCCGTGGCTGCTCTCGCACGCAGGACCCCCACCCAGCACAGCGCTCCATCGCCCCGCGGGGAGCGCCACCGAGGGCCCCAGTGGCTGCTCTCGCATGCGGGAGCTCCACCGAACGCCCAAATGGCAGTTCCCGCAGGCGTTTCACCCATCCCATGCCCCATGGGGAGCTCCACCGGAGGCCCCAGTGGGTGCACTCGCATGCGGTTCCCCCGCCCAGTACAGCGCTTCGTGGCCCCAGAAGGATCTCCACCGAATGCTCCAGTGGCTGCACTCGCATGCGCTTCCCCCACCCAGTACAGCGCTCCATTGCCCAACAGCACTGAAGGCCCCATTTGCATTTTCCGCGTGCGTTTCCTCCGCCCAGTACAACGCTTCATGGTCCCATGGGGGGCTCCACCGACGGCCCCAGTGGCGGTGTTCGCATGCGCTTCCCCTACCCAGTACAACGCTTCGTGGTCCCATAGGGAGCTCCACCGAAGGGCCCTGTGGCGGTGTTCGCATGCGTTTCCCCTACCCAGTACAACGCTTCGTAGCCCCACAAGGAGCTCCACTGAAGGCCCCAGTGGCAATGTTTGCATGCGACCCCCCACCCCCACCCCCAGTACAGCGCTCCGTGGCCCCATCGGGAGCTCCACCGAAGGCCCCAGTGGCTGCACTCGCATGCGTTTCCCCCACCCAGTACAACGCTTCTTCGTGGCCCCATAGGGAGCTCCACCGAAAGAAGCCCCAGTGGCTGCACTCGCATGCGGTTCCCCTACCTAGTACAACGCTTCGTGGCCCCATAGGGAGCTCCACCGAAGGCAAGAGATGCACATTCCGCATGCGTTTCCCTCCAGCATTGCAACGCTTCGTGGCCCCATGGGGAGCTCCACCGCAGGCCCCAGTGGCACCGTCCGCATGCGTCTCCCCCACCCAATACAACGCTCCGTGCCCCCAATAGGGAGCTCCACCGAAGGCCCCGGTGTGGCAAAGTCCACATGCGGTTCCCCCGCACAGTACAGCGCTTCGTGCCCCCATGGGGAGCTCCATCGAAGGCCCCAATGGCAATGTTCGCATGCGTTTCCCCTACCCGGTACAGCGCTTTTTGGCCCCATAAAGAGCTCCACCGGTGGCTGCATTCGCACACATTTCCCCCACCCAGTACAGCGCTTCGTGGCCCCATAGGAAGCTCCACCGGAAGCCCCAATGGCAAAGCTCGCATGCGTCTCCCACGCACAGCGCAGCGTTTCGTAGCCCATAGGGAATCCCATTGAGGACGATACCCACAACCGCGGTATCCACAACTGCATATGGTTGGGTCCTCCGCCGAACGTCACCAAAGGCTGCAGGTGGGGATCGAACGTTTACACAGATCCGCCTCCTCCCCCCTCACTGCCTGCCGCGCTGGGCCTCCCGTCCTTTGAGTACCCTTTATCCCCAGCGGCGCGGCCTGGGCCCCACTGGCCGCTTTACCCCCCTTAGATGGGGACGTAGGCCGTTCCCTTCGGGTTTCGAAGGGTGTATCCCAAACTTGGGGGGTACTTTGGTGGGGGGTTCGAGAGGGATGGGGGTCGGTTATAAGATTCCGATCCTTGGAGGGCGGACCACGCCAGGGTTGGCGCCGCCAGGGAGGTCCAGCGCCGACCCCAGAACTCCGCGCGAACCTCCGAGGGCTTATGTTTCTGCCGCTGCTGCTCCTCGATGCCCACCTCCGCTTTCCCGCGTTAGGAGACCAACGCCTCCTCCTGTCCTCCTCCTCCTCCTCCTCCTCTCTCCTCCTCCTCCTCCTCCTCCTCCTCCTCCTCCTCCTCCTCCTCTTCCTCCTCCTCCTCCTCCTCCTCCTCCTCCTCCTCCTCCTCCTCCTCCTCCTCCTCCTCCTCCTCCTCCCTCCTCCTCTCCTCCTCCTCCTCTCCTCCTCCTCCTCCTCCTCCTCCTCCTCCTCCTCCTCCTCCCTCCTCCTCCTCCTCCTCCTCCTCCTCGCTCCACCCTCGCTCCTCCTCCTTTTCCTCCTCCTCATTCTTCTCCTCCTCATCCTCCTCCTCCTCGCTCCACCCTCGCTCCTCCTCCTTTTCCTCCTCATCCTCCCCCTGCTCCTCCTCCTCCTCATCATATTCCTCCTCCTGCGGCCACCTCTGCGGACATGATGTCTGCGATGTACAACTCATGCAACAAGACGGGGCAAAGGGGGCGCGGGGGCCTGGCACAGCAAGTTCCTCTCCCCGCACGGATCATATAGGTCCAATGAAGCATGGTAACATTGTACCCTTGCCTCGGGCACACACATTGGATTCGCCTCTCGGAACCGATCCAGGTGTGGCCCCGCAAACAACTCTCGCAGCATGACGTGCCAATGCTTCAGGCCAACACCATGTCGATGCAAGTTCACACTCATGCAACGCTGCAACATCATCGAAGCACACGGATGGCAACTCAAGAGAGGCAGCACGCAACTGAATGTCTGAGAAGTCAGTACCTAGCAGTACAAAATCACGCGTGGGAGCACGCTCGGTTATCCATTGGACCTCCGGCATGTCCCACATGGAAGGGCAATAAGGCGAGCTTGCTTGACAATTGGCAATCACGAGGGCTGGTATCTGCACTGCCGTCGCTGCTGCAGCCGCTGCCCACATGAACTGACAAAGCACGTTGGAGCATGATACAGCATCGGCGGCACAAGGTGGCAGACCGACTAGGCCCCATGGTCTCAACTGTGAACGCGTGGGTCTGGGACTGCACTACGGCATCCAACGATATCCCCACGTTCGACACCGAATGAAACCAACAACTGCCACGATATGTATAAGCTCAAGCAAGTGCGATCTACATGCATGCCGCGTCAAGTTCTGCACAGGGACAGTGTGCACACACATATCCAAACATTCTCTCTGTGCAAGCTCGTCGCATGAACACTGGAAGTCACCGACATAACGTGACGCAGACGTGACACAAAGAACGCACGAGCGGATAAATGATGGCGTCGCAGGTATATCGGCTCGATTGGCCTCCGCTGCAAAAGGGACGGGCCGACACGAAGCCCTCGGCACGGTCTCTGGGAGACCAAGCACGCGAGCCGCGGTTTTTTTATAGCCATGTCCAGACCGCAGCAACGGAGGCAGCGTGGCCTTTTCACTATAGTAGCCTGCTTGAAGCAAACTGCGGGTATAAATGGCCTCCTCCTCCTTCGCTTCTTGCAAGAGCGTGCGAGGCACAGGAGCCAGCACTGCAACTATGTTAGCAAGGCAATTCGAGGCTCCATGGCGGAGGTGCCTAAGAAGTCTGGGTCTGATGTGAAATCCGAAGCAACATGATTGCCAAACTGAACCGATGGTGTACTGGCCAGCAAGCTCTAGCTGTGGATGGCACTTCGTTAACTGTACTGACCACGAAGCCTTGGTCTTGAGAACTGCATTGCATTCACGGCATGGCCAAAGCATGACGGGGGGAAGGGGAGCGACGGAGCAAGGCGGATGCTGGCAAACCATGGTGCACACATGCCAGAGGTCATCTGCCCACGCGCTGCGCTGCATATCAATGTTGGCTGCAACCAGGAGGTTACGCTCAGCGTTCCTACAAATCCGTTTCCGAAAACGCATTCCTCTCTCACGCACGAGCAAAAGCCATGTGCGAGGCGGGCCAGGTGGCCCCATGAGCTTGGGGAGAGACACATTGACAGCAAGCCATTCAAGATGCTGTAAGAGTAGCTGTGCCCATGTGCCTGGTACGTTACATACACTGTC